AACTTCGATTCGATGCATACATAATTCAATTAAGTGGCAAAATTAAAGGCTGACAGACCGTAACAACGTTGGATAGGGAAAAACAGCGTTACAAAAACGTTTAGGCGCCATTCAAGTTTAAAAAAAAAGTGGAAAAATGGGGAAAGGAGACGCATGCTGTCCGTAGGAAGCTGAGACTATGCCAGCCTTCGTTCCGCAATACAGTCTCGGCCGCTGTTCTTTTAGATAATCCATAGATGAAAAAACATAAAAAAGTGAAAGGGAAGTTACTAAGTAAAAATCTTTTTGTGCTTTTCCTTCACACACACTCCAGAGCGGCATCCTGCACTGCTCAGCTAATATGAAAAATAGCGCTGCGCTTTGAACGACTGTCAACACCATGTTTTTTGCGACTAGTCGTTGCGAAATTCCCCGCTGACAAACACTTTACACGTATCGATTAAATATGCACAATAATGGTCGCAACAACGAAAACAGATTGTGGCGACATAAAATTCTACACAACTTCGGGATAATACAATGAACAAGTGGCACTGGCTTGACACAACCTCATCGCTCTCTAACCATATAAATGGTACATCATTATTATTTGTAAGCTATAACATTTTCTGGTGCTAAAGAGTATGACGCAACGGCAGATAGCGCTGCACTCATGCTAGAAGTCAAGAAATCAGTCCCGCTAGATGAATAACCAATCCCTCCACAATTCGTCCCTTTGTTTTATCACGAATTAGGACTAGGTAAGCACCAAGAATGTGCCATCGATAGTCTTACCAGGACAACTACTAAAATTTGGCTCAGCTCAACTCGGCCACGCAGTATGCACTCGCTTTTGAGTTCGGGTTCGAAATGCGAAAGTCGTAATACCGACTTTTTCCCTAGGTGAGAAACTGACGTCAGAGGGAAGTCAGCGTCGAGTTTAAGACCACTAACTTCCCTTCGGCATCAGTTTCATGCTGGGAATAGACAACTTATACACAGAGCCTCCTTCCCATAAACCCCACTCCTATTTTCAATTCCTACCTGCAAGCAAGTTCTCAGCTCCATTCCAGTCAGTAATCCGGTCCCTCCTCTTCGTTACAGTCCGCGGTATCTAAACCACCACTCCCGGCCCTCAACCTCCCTAATTCGTTTTACTCCTGACTCCCCAGTTACTGCAACTCGTCTCCCAACCTGAGCCAGGTTTTAGTAGCTGCCCTCACTAAGTAGGTATATACTGCCAACTAAATACTTCCAATTGCAACCGCTTCCCACACAAAGTGAGATAAAGAGGAATTTAAATTTTGTTTTATATGCACGCCAAAATTTCCTCAACCTCACCACCGCTGCCACATCCTGTGCTTTTATTCGCCATCGCGAAATCGTACCACAATAGCAGCTGCTCACGATGGGAATGAGTTGACAGCACTCAAACCAAGTAAACTCAAATTTGGGCTAACTGCGCCCTGACAGTGACTACAACTGGATAATGG